TTCATTAGCTGTCTTAATATATCTATCTCAGAAACGAGTTCATTCATTATCTTGTCCTACTTGTTTTTACTTACTTTCGATAACTTTGTTTTCACAAGATGTGTATCAATAGTTTTTCTTATTATGTGATTTCACATTACTTACTCAGGCAAATTTAAAACTCCTTTCACAAAACTTACTTCATAGCCGAAGCTGAGATTTTTTTTTCTGTCCTTAAGAAGATTATTATAGCAATATTTATTTTACAATGTGCAAATTTAATCAATCATAAATCTACATTTAATTTTATACAATTATTTATAGCTCTAAATGTTTATTTATCAAATTTATTCATTTAATTCACCTCTAAATGATTAAAATGAATAAAAATCTAAGTTAACAAAGTATGTTTAGAAAGTGTTTACAGTTTAGTGAATATTTTTACTTGTTCGTTGCATTGGGTTTTTTTTGGAGGAGAAATTTCATTACCAATTAATACGGTGACCAGAAATTACACATTTTTTGTTTTCCATCCATTATGAACACTTTTCACGTAAGTTAATTACACAACAGTTTATCACACAACTTTCTTTACACAAAGTTGATAAAATCATCAAGTATCATCTTGTATTATATACAGTTATGCAGAAAATATTTTCATGTAATGATCTATTTCAGATCCACGAATTCAATGATTTTTGTTGGGAAAAGTGCATGGATAAACCAGGAAATAAATTAGACAGCAAAACTGAAACTTGTATGAACAATTGTGTAGAGCGTTTTATCGATGTTTCACTGTTGATCACAAATAGATTTGCACAACTTCTACAGAAATCTGGCGGTGGACTATAATTTGTTAAAGATGGATTGTATTATTTAGAGACTTTAGTGTAAATATAATTTTTATATAAAAGAGTTTTTTCTCTTGTTTATTTGCTAGTTGTGTAGCCAAAATGCAGGAAAGTTTTTGGATTTAGAACTGATTGCAGATGATATAGGAAAATTTTGCAAATATTATCAGAACTAAAATGAAAAAGCATATATCATATGTAATTACTGTATTTAAAATAATACAATTTATAGTTTATAATATTGACATTGATAGTCATCTTTTTTTTTCTTTGAGATCCATTCATGTGTTCACATTGCGAAATTCGTGGCTTTTGAAAGTTAATTTTAGCTTGTTTTCTAATGCAATTTAATAATAAGTTTGTAAATAAATTAATGATTACAATACTTAAGACTTAAACCTAATTAAATTAAACATTATTCTAATGACAATCTGTAAAATATGTTTCTAAACAAGAATTATCACAAATGTATAAAACTTGTAAATCAGTTGTATACAGATTTGACTTAATATGCGCCATAAAATTATTTTATAAGGTAAATTACATGGAAAAGACAACACAAATTTGTTAAAAATATTTTTTCTTTTACATGTAATCTACTTTATTATTTCATAACATAGAAAAATAACTAATATATCTTACACACAAATTTTAATCTTTGCAGTAACTCTTCTTGAATATTGAAAATAATTTAACATACTGCAGATGCACTCGTTTAAACAACATAAGCATATTGTGGCAAATAACTATCTCCGAATATTACTTTAGGAATATTTTTCTAGCAATTAAAGTCATTATCGTCATACACAAACATTAAATTATACGATTTCGCCAACTTATAAAAGCTCTTGAATTTTATTAGTTTAATTATAATTAAATAACGTTATTTAAAAAATTATGGTATATGCATTCAATAATAATTATTGACTAAATACAATCATCAATCATTTATCACAGCCTTTTATCTTCTCAAATAAACTTATTAACGAATAAATTAAAATTATACTATATTATCTAAACTACACTAATATGTTTAGAATTGGCAGCTTTTGTTTAATAGAATCTAAATGAATTAAATATTTGTAATATTATATGCAAATTTAACTTATCAAGTAATTATACCAAAGTTTTTAATACTTATTCAATCCAAGTATAGTATACAAGTAACAGAATTAAAAATATTAAGAAAATACCACATTTTGCCTTCTCGCTACATGAATTTCTGAATTATTGAATACATATACCGCGTCACCATATGTATATTATAACACTATTTTAACTTAATACGAAAATATCCAATCACTAGTCCAAAATCTTTGTTGAAAAGCTTTTCGAAAACTTAAAACATGAAAGCAGATTTCTCGTATGATCACATAAACCCGATATAAGTCCAATCTGAACGAAAATAATTTTAATACGCCACTATTCAGCAATGATTCAGCGTTCGCAATAGAAATTCAGTCCAAAACGCTTCCTCTTTTTTAATTTCTGCTGTTTTTTATTTGTGTATTTTCAAGTCGTGTACATTGTGGAGCAAGTTTCTTGATTTTTCGGGTTTTAGTTGAATAAGGATAGTAATTCGACGGTCTATCTGTCGGTGGTGCGCAATACGATCTCAGTTCATTGTATGTGCATGATTTTTCGCAGCATTCGTTCGTAATACCGCGAACTGTCCTCCTGAACTTGAGGCGCATCGCGTTCGAACGCGAACGGAACGGGAACGTCGGCTCGTCGAGTTGCTGCTCGAAACTCAGGTAATCGTCGCTGTTGAAGCGATCTGGAAGAAAGGATACAAATTATTAGAAATTTAGATTTGTATTAATACTATTCACTTGATACATCAAAAGTTCATAACAAAGAGACGGTGTCCAATATTGTTCACTTTATTGTATTTAATCATTCTGAATGCAATTTGGAAGAAAGGATAAGAATTATTAGAAATTTGATTTCTATTAATGTTATTCCCTTGATACATCAAAAGTTCATAATGAAACCAATGTGTTCACTTCATTGTTATTTGAACCAATGAGAACCGTAAATATTTCATTTGTCATTCTCAATGCAATTTGGCAAATGTAGAAATGAAATTTTCGTATTTTTTCAATGAGAGTCTCCTCAAAGTACAGATTTTACTTTTGATGAAATAGTATTTTTAACGCAAAAATTGATTTATTATCTTCATTTCCAAACACGTTGCAGTAAAAAGGCTATTTTCACTTTTATTTGTCTTTTTAACTAAAATGTGTCAGAAAACACTTTATATGCTGTTAACTGCGTTTTTCGTACAAGATTTAAGAAAATAAAAATTTTCGAGTGTGAATATTTCACTTTTTTTTAGTGAAAAAAAATATATAAAAAGCCACACAAAATTTTGAAGACGACCTATGTGTATTTTTTTCCACATTTGATAGGGTTCACATTAGATCTTAAATCATTCATAGTTGACCTTTAGAATATTTTAGGTGTATTTGGGCAAATGCAAAAAAAAACAATTTTCACATTATTGGTCTTCTCACTGGAAGGCGTGCTAAAGTTCTACTTTCATTTGCATGCATTTTTTATGTATCTTTTTTGTACACGTTTGAAAAAATACTGTTTTGATAGTGAAAAGTGAACAATTATCTTCATCATTTTTCAAACATATTTTCACAGAATTTCCTATTAAATTTTTACAGAAATTTTCTTGATTTTTTCCTTTTTATTTTCTTCTAATTATACAAATTGGAGTGATAAAAAAGATAATAGAAAAAATATACAACTTAATGATCTTATTTGAGATTTATAGCAAAACTGAAATTAACGTTCATTTTACATTCGAAAAAAGATTACCGAAAGCAATGGTTTTCAAAAATCTATTGTTTACACACAATGTTCAGAAAAAAAATTCTTAATGAATAGTCATTACTACTATCCAAAACCCGTTTCTGTAAAAAGTAATTTTCATATTTTTTCATATTTTGTACTTTTCAAAGGAAAGAAAACCGAAAGTATTTGTTTTACTTGTTAACATTTTCAAATGTAGTTTCAATTTCAAGGAGCGATTACTGTTTTGTTAATTACCTAGAAATCTTTGCGATAGAACAAAAAGCTGTACAAATTTTACAGAATCGTATACCAGGATTAATTTTTTTGCATATCTTGGAACCTGTGACTTTTATTAATATAATAATGAAATTCCAGCCCGTGTTCAATTTATTAATCGAGATTCTACACAAATGTACCAAAATTCAACTAACATTCACGCAAAATTCTATAACAATTCTGTTATAGAATTTAATCTAATAAATAAATATTTTTTCAATTAATCGGAACAATATTTGAATTCAAGCCAAGTTATAAAAAAAATAGAAAAGTAAATTCAAACTATATAATATTTTATAGCACTGAAGAGAATCAGAAACTAAAAAAAAATTGTGAGCTTCGTTCTCAATACCAATTTTGAGATTAAATTGAAAGTCATGAGCTTTAGAAACATAGTAATGAGCTATTTTCTAAAATACCTTTGAGATGTTAAAATTCACGTAAATCGCAATATTTTATTGACCTATAAGACTATGGTGAATTTACGTGACTTCATGAAGGTTTTTCCAATGACAAGTTTCTATTGATTTTAATTAATTTTTTTATTCCAAATTGTTAGTAGTTTGTATGAATTTTATTAATTTGTGACACTTACCATCTTCAGGACGACCACTTTTCTTATTCATATGGCCATTGTAATTTCCTTCGCAAACAATGGATAATGTATCTGCTAATATACGACCACAGAATTTCTTGGGCATACTCCTCAAATTGTAATTGTAATGTTCCGTATCTGCTCGCACCTGAGTTGCCACCATAACCAACATGCATCCCGCAAAAAGAGTTGTAGGTTTTAGCATCTGAAATAAAAAAAATACATATTAGAAATAATATATTACAAAATATAGATTTAAAGTATGTTTACAAGTGAAAATAGTCTGAATTTTCAATAATAAAGTTATATCAAATATTGTTATGCCAATCGTCGGGTTGTTTTCTAAGAAGCACAATGCTGAAAAATAAGTTCTATTACAAAAGCTCATTGGAGTTATAAATTTTGAGATATGTTTCAACAAAACAAATAAAATTGTATATGATGATTCACAAGTTGAATTTCTATTTGAATTCCCGGGCGAATAAAATTGTCGTTTGAATTTTGTTTCATTTTAAATTTTGAATATTTTTTTGTATAGATGTTCTATCTTTCTGTTACTATTTCAAATGAACAATTCATTGTCTTTATTTCTTATCGATTTTGTTATTTCTTTTTCTATTTTATTCTTGTTAATGAAAGTTTGATTTAAATGTTGTATGAATAAGATGAGCAGGTAATTTGAACATATCATCAGAAAAACGATTTTTAGTAAAAACTATTTTCTACACCAGTAGTTAAATATTACATAAATGCTTCATTTAGTTATCGCCTTCCTGAATCTGCTGTATTATTTAACCAATATGATTTACAAAAAATCCCAAGTGTACAGTAATAAGTGTGAAATTCTAAATTTTCAAGACAACTACGATATCTTCACAAACGTCCTTGTTTGTGCAAAACAATACAATAACAAAAACAGAATAATTCTTGTATCAGTTAATTAATGTGTTTCAATTGCTTGGTTGTTATTAATATTAATCATAATATTTGTTGCATCGAATGTAAATATTCGTTTTATATATTCTTGTCGGAATTAGGTCAACCTGAATAATATTCAGGACCTTGAGGTCAATAAAATTGACCCTTTGTGACTTCAAAATAAAAATCGACGAAAACAAGAGTGCGTATAGTAAAAAAAACAAGTGTATAATATAAAAACTATATTAGATGCTTATATTAGAAATCATTTGTAGTTGAATGCATATTGAACATCACATTGTGTCCAAAAATTAAATTTGGGTGCTTTATTTTTACTTAGCCGGTAATACGTTTTTAGAGATAATAATTAGAGCTTCGCAACATTTTAAATGTAATTAAATAATGTATAATTGTTTGTAAACAAAAATACAAGATAATTACAAATCAAAATATTTTAATTAGCAATATATCAAGTATTTTTCTCACCGTACTATTATCTAAGTGCGCATGCCATTTTACTACATTGTCATTAATGTATACAATTTGAAATTGTTTTTTATAAATTTAAGAATATACAACTGAGCGAGCTTTTCATAATTTATGAAATTTTGCAAATCAGGAAATATTAAATTGGATGGTTTTGGAAATGTTTCATGTTGATAGGTTCATCTACATGCATCTAATTAGAAATAAATAAGTTTCTGAATTTAAAGATATTAATTTCAAAATTCCATACGCTAGTTCATGTATATTGCTTTTAAATTTAAGAAATGTAACCTGTCATTAATACTTCCTAGACCAGTAGAAATATAAATTGCAATTTAAATTTTGTCAGTTCAAATTATGTATTATTTGAATATTTCATAATGAAACTCTTGGCATATAAATTTAACCCGGTGGCAAAGTTCATATAAATTTCGGAATTTGCGAGTGGAAAAGGTTAAATTTTTATACATAAGTTCATCAATATTGATTTCTAATTTAAAAATAGTAATTTTGCTTTGAATTTATTGGGCTAGTACATTATTTAAATTGCAATCAAAATTTCATCAAGTAATAAATTATATTTGCAAAATATACTTTGTATATATCAAATATAAAACTAGGGTACTCATAGAATAAATATGAAGAATGCATTTAAATTTTTTTTGTACTCTAGAATAGTTAATTGCAACTTAAGTGAAAATGTGATTTGGCATGTATACAGTAAATTGTTGCAAAAACGTTATTTAATTTTAAGTACTTACTGATCAATGTTGAAGAAAATTAAATTTAAGTATTTACATTGATAAGTACTCAAGATTAAGTGTTTTTGCAAAAAATATTCAAAACATGCTACCTTACTTTCCCACCTATATTGCGATTAACTATTTTAATACAAAATAAAATTGAAATATAGTTTTTATATTTATTCTATGTGTACTCTAATATTATTTTAAATATTTTGCAAATACACTGAGCAACGATTTTTAAATGCACAGAGATCCATACTAAATTCAAAAATTCTATACTCTTCATACAAGTAGAAAATATTAATATTTTTAAAATAATCACGTATTGTTATTATTGGAATATTGTCAATATTATAACGAATGGAAAAACAACTATTTTTCCAACATGTCACTATATAGAATACAATGTCTCTTTACGGGTGACAATTATAAATTTCTCAAATTTACTAAATGTTTCTGGATAGTTGTAAATAAAATAGAGAATAAAAAAAATCGTAATGGTATTATACGACTTTAAAACACTTTAACAACAAAAAATGTCCTTAATGTTAATTAAAATTTAAAAATAATTAAATATAGTTATTTAAACTTTAAACAAAATAATGTCAATAAATCATACCATTTTGAATAAGATCTAGTCCTCGTTCTCTGAGACGTTTACAAATCCTTTTATTATAACAAGGATCGTTATGTGGCATATAAAACTTATTATTGCTGCACCCTGTCTCGTCCTGCTCCTTCAGTTCTCCATGTTGAGAACAACTCACAACAATCACGGATTCCGAACACATTCGATTAACAAAAGTTTGGTGTTTAAGTTTAAAATTCAACTTTTAAATAATAAATTAATAAAGCACTGGAAAGTCTGATTTTTTAGACGAATTCGATCTATTCACAGTATATTATTAAGTACTCGGAAGAATAAGGATTTTTAAGTTGTAAACTGTTAATGGTAGAAGTGGATCCGAACTATTGCACTGTTATGAACGGACTGAAATTTAGAGTGGATCTCTATCGCCTTATATACGCGTGGTAACTTACGCATGGGAACTAAAGTCGCCTCCTCTCTTTACTTTGTAAATATTTGTATATATATATATATATATATATATATATATATATATATATTTGTAAAATGCATTTATATTGCATATATTTTTATGTTCAGAAGTTTTTAAAACTGAGACAAATGATGAGTCGAATCATAGTCCCGAAACTTTAAACTAAAATAGTTTAATGAAATAGTGCAAAAAAGTTTCAAACGGTCACGATTTCAAATTTAACTTATTTATTACAAAAATCTATAAATTCAATTTTATAGGACTTGACTTTAAGTACAAAATTTAAATTATCTTTATATTCCTAAATATTTCGGTACACAATTTTATCATCAGCATGTCTAAAATTTTAAACCTAAAAGAAAAGCGCGAAATTGTAGATCAAATGACGTAAAATTACATGTCGAAACTAGTTGGTATTGGTATTTTACCTTGAGGCAAGTTACATGAACTTCCCGATATGTGTAAATAATCGACTTAATCAATAAAAAATAAATTAATTTATGAGTGATTAAAAGTATTCCGAGTGGATTTATTACACATAATTGAAAACGAACGAACACGTTAACTTTGGGAGTATTCTCTAAGAGCAAATTTTCAAAAATCAATAATATTTATAATTGAACCAATTTCCGTAGAACTTTAATGCTTTAGTATGTTCATTAAGACCAAGTACTCTATCGTTATGCCAAGTAAATCGTCTAATTTTAATTTTAACAAACATCAAATAAACTACTCATTTTCTCAAAATTTGATGAATTTTTAAACTTAAACTACTTGTCGTAAGGCTATAATATTTCAGTAAGTTCTATAAGGCCATGATATATATCGCCAAAAAAATTCAATAAAAACCGACTTAGGTAGATTTTTACCTAAAACTAATCAGCATCATTCCCAACTAATATCTTTCGAACAGTTTTTGATTTTTTTAATTCGATTCGGTAGTATAAGCTTAAATGTGGACGAAAAGTTCAACCCTTTTTTCAAATTACAAAGAAACGGCTAGGCAGATCGTCGCACAAAACTGACGAACGATAGTCCTCATTGAGATACATCAAATGGCTTTTAAACTTCTGAAATCGGTTCAGGCGTTTTTGAGGAAACATCGATCAAAGGTCTAGTTTTGACAAATGCTAAAAAAACGATACTAATTTTTGCAAACTTTAACGAATTTTTAAAATTAAACAGCCGTAATATTTTAGTGTGATCTATAAGACTATGAGACAGAACATAAAAATCACTAATTGCAAGCTTCGTTTTACAATTATTGATACTAAGAAATATATATGTTAGTGGTCAAAGTTTACAAATTGTTCTGTAATACATGAAAAAGCTTTCGTAATAAATATTTGTACAAAATTCTCACGTAAACGAGTTCGCACGCATTTATCTGAATTTTTTCGAACTGACGTAAACATACTTATATTCATCTCTATCGCTTTATTTGGTTCTGAAGAATAAATCTCACAGGCTAAAGTTTACATAATTTCATTCTGATCCACTTATCAAAATTGATGAATGAACAGCTACGTTTGCAGTATATGTAGTTTGTGTTAGTAAACTTAATTTTTCTTACAAATTTTCTATTTTCGTAGCATGCGCTATTTATAATTAAAACATCTAATGCGAGTTGTAATTTGAGGACGAAAACAATTCTAAGGCGGTGAAAGCTTGTTTTATTTTCATCGAGATATTATTGTAGAATTCGTTTTTAGTGCAAATCAGTCGGGCGACAAAGATAATTATAGCATGTAATTTGAAAGGTTTGGAGATATATTAATAAATTGTTCAAAAGTTTTGAAACTTTCTTTTTTTTATTTTATTTTCATTCTGCAATCTATAAAAATAATTAAATTTAGCAGAGAATACTGACAAGTGTTTACAATTGGTTGTTTACAAATTAGTACATACGCCCAGTGGTGTATCTACTATAGTTAATATATAAAAAAGAAAAAACTAAAGACAAATATAGAGAAAAAAATATATTTATATTCAGATAAAACAATAAAATACGAAAGATAATGATGGAACTGTTATATTTAAACTGTAATAAATATTTTTTGAAAAACTGAACCAAAGATTAGTAACAACAATACATAGTTATAAATACAATACGGTAAACTTAGAAGAGATTATTACCTGTGAATGTTTTTTTTAAAAATAGGATTTATTAATAGATGTTTGGATTACGTTTTACCTAAATATTATTTTATTTTTCATGATTCTGTGGATTTTTTTCATTAAAAATAAACTTTGTAAAAATGTATAAAACTCTATTAAATTTAAAAGTCTGATGCAGAATGTTAAATGATATCACTCTATTTTTTTATTTTTTATGTAGTGATTTTAAATACTACATATACTATTATAAAGTTATAACGCATTTAATATAATTAAAAAAATATTAAAATTTTAGTTCCAAGGGATTTTCATTATTTTTGTTACTAAAAATTTAATCTAAGTTTTATGTTTTTAAAAAATCGAGTATAATGAGCACCATCCCTGATTAGCTAATTTTATGTTTTTCTTAACGTTTCAAATAATTTCAATCGTTTGACACCAAAAAGTATATGTATGTATATTTTTGTAGTACGTCTACCAAAATTTGATCTTTCGTCAAATAATTTTTCGTTTTCTAAGTTTTCTGAAAAACCACTGCTTGGATTTGAAAAAATTAAAAGCCGTTTGATGAAACTTTCAAATTATAGGCACTTTTATTATTCGCAGATAAATGCAAAAAATTTTATTTGACGTTTTTTCCAAAATTCTGGAACCAATATTGAAAATTCATAATCTGTTTGAAAGATATCAGTAAAAATCTTACTGATGAGTTATTGGCGGAGATCGGCCAGGCCGTTTCTTCGAAATCGATTGTTTGTAATTAAAACTTTGCACAGTGATAAATTTGTGATCTGAATAAACATTCTAAAATTTTATGTGGCTACAAAAATTTTAATTATAGAAATTCATGGAAATTTGGAATAATAGGCAGCTTTATTGTGACATGCGCCATGTATGATCAGTTCTGCATTTCTATTAATCATCATTTAAATAAAAAAAATAGAACACTACTTTTGCTATTTAGTAGAAGTAGAATGAAATATGTTAAATAAATACAATAATACTTAAAATTGTATACAATAAAGATATATTATGATTGTTTGAAACAAAGCAATTGGAAAACACATTGATTAAATTTTAGTAGAACCAAAAAATGGTGTTTGGTACAAATTTTTGGAAAATTATTTGTATGATGTTGAAAAATGTATCGTTATAATCTATAAAAAGTTTAATAACCACATTTCTCGTTAATCACATACGCCAGGAAATTCATGCAATTTGTCTCAAGACATTTTTTTCTTCTTTATCATAGGACTTAAGCAACTGATCAGAAGTTCTGATACACTACAAACAAGGAAGTACTATATCCCATAATATATTTATTGAAAAAAAATCTTCCATTTCTGCACTGTATCCGCGTCCAGAAGCACACTAATCTAATCAAATCAAATATTCAGGTCTAATCAGTTCTCCAGACCAGCGGCAAAGCTTGATATATCGATAGTCGTTCTCGAATTCTCATTTTATTTATTATTCGGTACTACTACTATCCATCATGTCTCTGATTCTATATTTAGATATGTCATTGTCAATCATGGGTGCCTCATGGGACATTATTTATCAAGTACAGTGTCCGCTTTCATCTCATCTAAAAACGAATTACTGATAACACTGTCTCTTCAGCCAGACAAACAATAACACATGTTATGTCTAACATACAATCTTGCTAGTATACAGTACTTGCGACTTTTTTACTTGACGAGCCGAAAAGAGTAAAAAACAACCCACTGTTCCGGACGATGTTAAATAACAACCTGTTTGCATGTTTTGTCATTTGATATGAGGGAAAATGTGATATAAAAAATATAAATATTGCATCAACTAATTAATAATTTTTATGCGCTAAATTTTAATTAAATATAGAGATTTGCAATGCGGAATGTCGTTATTGAATATTTGAAGACTCATTCTAGATTATTTTATTCTTGCTCTCATTTGAGGACAATGATGCGTAATTTCCCTGTGAAGAAGCGTTTCTTTTTGTTTCAAATCATTCTGATTTTTTTGCAAAAAGTATTTGTGTTGATGAGTGTGTGTATGTAAGCCAAAAGTTGGTCTTATGTTGACGATTTTTCAAAATCGTCTAATCAAAAATTTTAAATCTATCATGATTTTCTAACAAGAGTTACTTTGATTAATTTTGCGAGTCTTTGTATTAGAAACAATCAAGTGTTTCTTACAATTTTTCTTTAAACAATCCTAATATAATTTCTCTAGTTTAAAAATATATATTTGCCCATTAGCGGTCATTGCTTTCTTTTCATGTCTTGGACACTTGCGTAAAATCCTAAAAATAGGACCTGTTCACAAAAATGACCTAATTCTATTCAAAAATCAATTATGACTGTAGCTGTTACCTGTTTCGAGTTGCCTTAGTTTTATTTCAAAATTAAATATGACTTCAGATATTTTTGTAAACAAATTACCTGATTATAAAAATACAAGACGCAGCAGGTAATGATACATAAAATTTTAGGCAGGTTGAATAATTTGCAAATATTCTTTTGTTAGGAAAAAACTATATAGTTGTTATTATAAAATGAGAATGATAAAAAGAAAATAGATAATCTTATTGCATTTTATGAGATTATACAAATTGTGTATAATCTTGTTAACGGCAATTTAATCCTGGAAGGTCCGGATAAATTTCAAGATTATTTTTTACCGACAATGGATTCATAATTAACAATTCGTA